TCCCTCTCAGCTGTTCAGTTCCAAAGTGTTGCTAGTACTCACTGTTCCCACTTTACAGTCAGCCTGGAGTGGGAATGCATATAGCACCCATCAGGCAGAGCAGGTGGCAGGAGTCTGTCTCACCTGTACTGTTTCCCATGAGTGTTTTTGTCTGTTTCAGGGGCCTCTTGCTGCCCAGTTTCAGGACACCCTTATTACTCATTAGATCACTCCAATCCATCTTTCAGATGGCCAGTGATGACCCTCTCTTCAGAATCCCCGTACTGATGCACCTTGACAAGACCATTCCATTGTCTGACATTTACACAGCCACTCCACCTTCAGTCTCTTCACTTTGTCCCTGCTCAGCCTACTCCCACTTCCAAACATACCTGCTGGTTACCCTTGCTGTATTTCAGAGGCCTCATTCTCCCTTCCCCATGACTCTTCTGGGTTCCTGGAGCAGTTTACAGTGTCAATTCCACAAGTTCAGCATTTGAGAGATGGTAAGTGTCCCATCTGTTCTGTCCTATACTTCTTAGAAGAGGCTCAAAGCCTACCAGGCTCTGAGTGGCTTATAAGGAAAGAGGGGATGGTTGCATTTGCACTCTGGCCCTGAAATACTATTCTGGAGGTGGATGAGGCAGGATAGAGAGAGATGTGAAAGAAGGACCCAGCAAGTCAGCCCTATGACACAGCATGGAGCCTCTGGAAATAGATATGTGGCAGGTGACTCTTAATTCATTTCCGTGCCATTTCATATACAAATGGAAAGCTATATTGTGGCTTAATTTTTTGGGTATAAGATAAAGTAGTATTTAAATCTTCCAAGATAAAGGTCAGTCCTCTAATTTAAAAATATTTATGCTTACAGAAAATTATGGAAATATAAAAAGCATCTATGTACCTAACATATAGCTTTGTAAAGACAATGTTGTCATATTTATCTTCTGAAAAAGACATTACAGATACAACTGAAACCACGTGTGTATCCCTTGCCAATACCATCCCCTCTTCCTCCTTCCCTTCCCTGAAGTAGACAATTCCATGAATTTGATTTGATCATTCTTTTGTATGTTTCCTAGTTTTTTGTATTTTTGTTAAGTACTGCACAAATATGGCATAAATCTCTCCACATTTTGTGCCCTTTCCAATATTTCCCAAAAAGACAACCAGTTTGGGGTGGGGCATAGCTCAAGTGGTAGAGTGCCTGTCTAGAAAACATGAGGCCCGATAATTTCAAGGAAATAAAAGCAAAAAAACAAAAAAAGCCAATCTCAGTAGCTACTTTAGATATACTTTCACAAATATTCTACGTTTTTACCATCATTTACTTTCTTGCACACAATGACAGTAATGCCTTTTTCACTTACTCTTATCTTGAAGACCATCCATGTTAATATAGAGAACTGTCTCATTCTTAACTGCATAGTATTGTGCTTTACAGACATGTAACACTGTTTTCTGGTAACAGTCATTTGAGTTGGCCAAAATCTTTATGCTCTTATAACCAAATATTGCCACAATTACTTATATACTACATTATGTCACCATCAAGCCAGTTTTTCTGTATAATATAACTAGGAGTGGAATTCTTTGGTTAAGAGTTATACACATCTGTAATTCTGATAAATACAAATATAAAATGCCCCCAGAGATCCACAATTATCAGTAATGTATGCCTGGGTAGTCATGGTTTCCCTTTCTTTGGCCATCACAGTGCTATCATTTTCTTTTTTTTTTTTTTTGGGGGGGGGGTGCTTTGTGCCCTAACGCCTGAGCTATACCTCTAGCTCAGTTATCAACTCTTTAAATTTGCAAGTCTGATAAATAAAAATGCATCTTATTATAGTTTTTATATTTGTATCAGTGAGATTAAACATGGAGTGTTTACCTCTTATGTTTCTCATTAGCATTTTAAAGTTTTATCATGTTAATTAGCAAAACTAATTTTTAAAAAATCCTTCTCCTTTTCATTTATTTCAGTATCTATCTTTGTCTTGTCTAAATACAGTGGCTATTAAGTCAAGAACAGGGCTAAGTAATACTGATGACATTTTCATTACTAGTTCGTGTCTGGCTCTTTATTTATACCTATGAACCCAGTGCCCAACCTCAAACCAAGACCACTGCCATCAATAGCTTACAGATACATATTTTACTTGCCTGCCTCCTTCTACCTCCAAGGTGGACATTACTGTGAATTTTAAAATCATCATTCTTTTTGCTTTCAGTTTTAGGACACATATATCAAATTTATGTTGCATATGCATACACAAGTCAATTCCAATTTGCTTCTTGCTAAAATTTATTTTTAACTCTAATCAATGCTTTTACATTCATTTGTAAATATGCACAGAATAGCAAAAATCTGAATTGCCTCCCACATATGCTCCCAGGTAAAGTGGAACAGTCTTGTTTCACTAAGTATCTTTTTAAGTTTATTTAATGCCACATTTTGTATTTTCCTGCTTAAAATGGCAAGCATATTGTCTAGTATTCTTAGTGCAAGAATGCTGTGATGTGCCTTCTGGAGAAAATATACGTATGACATAAGCTTCATTCCCACATGATTTACAGTGTTGTTGACAAAGTTAACTGTTAAATGAATCTACCATATATATTAAATAAGGTGCCTTTTCTTTTCTTTTTAACGTTATAAATTATTTATTTCAGCTATGGTTTTGTAGGTACAAGGTTTGAGGATCAAATCTGGTGATGATCTTCTTGTTAGCAATGTCCTAAGGCAGCACAGAGCATCACTTAGCAAGAGGCAGAGAAAGTGTGTGTGTGTATAGTTCAAAATAAGGTAAAATAAACATGTGAAACCAAGTTATACTGACAGGTTGTGACCTGGCAGCTGTAGGAACTTAACCCTAAACGCCCCTATGAATAGTGATTCAGTATTCAATAATCCATCGTTCATGGTAGCCTTATATAACTGCTGCAGATGAGGACTGTGACTGCACAGGCATATGTACATCCCAGAACAATTTAGTTTCACTTGTTTTCCTACTTTTATGTATTATAATGCAGACTAGCTTCTTTCACTCAGTAGATTCATACAGATTGTTACTCATAGTGGCAGACAATGTCTCCTTATAAATTTATCTATAAACAGCATGTGACTGGGTTTTCTTTTTTTTTTTGCTTTAATATACAATTTTCCATCTCTGGATAGTTTAATCCTTTGATATTATTGTGATTATTGATGTATTTAGACTGTTTTGACATTTTATTTTGTTTCGCTCACTTTTTTTGTGCTCATTTCTTAGATTTTTAGAAAGCTTTGTTTTATTCTCCCCTTTTTCTCATTATCTCTCATCACTTCTCATTTGGAGATTGTATTTCCAGCAATTAACACTGGAATTTTATCATGCATACTTGAAAGACAAAAGTTGGTGTTAAATGTTCACCTCCAAAATGTAAGAATTTAACTGTCATTAACCCTTTTCCTACTAGGCATTCCATTTAATCTCACAATTTGGCATAATTATCTTTTGCAGATAATATGTTTACACTTTCCTACATGTAAAAACGTATCAAAGTCAGGAGCTGGTGGCTCACACCTATAATCCTAGCTACTTGGGAGGCTGAGATCAGGAGGATTGCAGTTTGAGGTCAGCACAGGCAAAAAGTATTTAAATTTACATAACTCAGAACCAGAATTGATTGCTTATTTTCAAACTGTATTTCGTTCTAGATATTACTGTTTACCAACTACTTATACCTACTACACACTAGGCACTACTCTCTATAGTAAGTTGTTAACCTGACATTAATCAATTAAATCCTTACAACACTCTAATGGGCTGAACATTATTGATACATACAATTTCTTTCCTAAGGTTATGTACCTCAAAACCAGAATTAGGATCTAGGTAGGCCTTTTTGTTTTAAGACAAGGTGTTGCTCATGCAGCCTAGGCTGGCTTTGGACTCTCAATCCTCCTGCCTCAGCCTCCCAAGTGCTAGGATTATAAGCATGTGCCATTCCTGGCTTACAATCAAGACCTTTTTGATTTTAAGTTGCATTCATTCACCTTTTCACTGCAATGTGTAATGTATCTCTCACTTCTTGAATAACTTCTTTCTTAATCCAAGATATCACACAGTGCCCAGGATATCAGATGAAAGGGGTGTTTGAGTTTTGCTGAGGTAAAATGTAATCCTGCAAAGTCTCTAGGGAATGTCATCTTGTATTTGCTTAGTCTCAGCCATTGACAGACTGCAACATAGTCCAAGGCTGCTCTCAAGCTACAAATAGCAATCAACAACTTTATGAGTTTTGGGGAAATCAGTTCCTAATTCTGCTTCCCCAAACCAAAGTGGCAAACAGCTTCACCCCATTATGCAACTATTTTAAGACAATGATCATATACTGGACTTTTTAGTTGCGATTAAGTGTCCAGTTCTCTAAGTTGTTTTTCTCCATGGATTCTCATTTTCATTTCCTGTGGAAACCACATGACCATCAGGTAATGGTTCACAGTACCATTAGTGGACACTTTACAGACTGAAAACAGAAAGAACAATTTGGTAAAGCAGTTATTCCTCACCATGGAGAATGCTTACTATCAGCATGAACTAGGGTCCCAGGACTGAGGTTTGTGTCCAATCTCTTCTTTTTCCTCTCCTCCCACTCACTAAGCACATCTCCAGGTCCTTTGAAACTGTGCATAAAGCAACCCTCTGTATTGCCATCCATGTAAGATGCTATGGAGAAAAAGTGATTAAAAAAAAAAAAATCAGAAAAACTTATGGAGGTCTAATTTTACTCTGATCATAGGCAAAAGAGCAGGGAGGAAGTACCACTGTGAAACAAGTGTGCTGAAAAGGCTGTCTGGTATGTAGTTGGGTGATGCTAAAGTGGTTTGGGCTGTGGGTGCAAATGCTGATGACAGGACATGCAAGATGTATAGCCAACTTTTACTTATAGTACCTACTTGCTGGTTTCTGTGTGAGCTCTAGAACAGTTTTCTCCTTTCCATCCAGCAATCAAATCACATCAGATGGAACTAATTTACAAAAAGCTGTTTACATTTATTTAGTCATAAGCAGCAGACTGCTCAATTTGACTCAAGACCACAAAGAAACCATTTCTCCTTCTCTTCATTCTGAGTCTTAGAGTTGAGACCCAGACTGGCAGGAATGCTATCTGGGTCCCATTCACAGGTTTACAAGTTTCTCATTGAGGGCGATCTGGGACTGTGTGAGATTGGCCAGGTAGGTCACCATCAGCAGGTCCTAGAAGACAAAGGATAAACAAGTAAGGGTTGGATGCAAAGAGAGCAGAGAGGCTGGGTGTAAGGATAGTCCTGGATAAATGACAGATGGGAGAAACTGAGAAGTCAAAGGTGGTGGAAGACAGAAATTTTCCCATTTCTACTGATGCATTTACAGAATAGGGGTGCTTTAGGTGAGATTCATGGGTGGAGAATGGGGGGGGGATGTTTCCCCTTCATGGCACACAGAAGGGAAAATTAGAAATTCTACTTTCACTATTTCTAAATTTGAGCATTCTTATCATGAATCTAGGTAACAGGTCACAATAATGTCAGCAGTACCTAAGACAATGTAATCAAGTGAAAGAGAAGAAAGAGATTCCCTGAACATTATACTACCTTTTCCATCCTCCCAATCAGTCTCCTCTACACTAACTCCAGGCCAACCCATCCAACTCCATGCTGAGGTGCAAGAAGCCAGGCTCCCAGGGACCCAGCAATGGCACTCACATTGATGTTGCTGTTGAGCATGGTCTCAAAGTCTTCAGGAACTATTTTGGGTACTTGGTTAACCAGACTCATCAAGAAGCGGCCCACAGTATTGTCAGCTGACACCTTCCCAGACTGAGCATCAAAACAAAGATCTAATGAGGCAAGTTCATTCTCAGCACTGAGCACTTATCATTTCATCAGTATATTGCTCAGAGATCTTTGGGTAGAAATCCGCCCCCTCCCTTGTTTTTCCTTCCTTCCTCTCACCAGCACATCCTCTGCATACTGCAACACTGTGCTTAGGGCATCCTGGATGCGAGCTGATGCCCCTCCTACTTGTTGCAAGTCACTCGAGAGTCCAATCACCCGGTTGGGACTAAAACAGGTCTTCATGATCAGGTCAACTGTGTGAAAGGGTTGGGAGGCGGGGTAGGGAATTGAGACAGAGGAAATTTAGTCACACCACTGGGAGAGAGATAGTCTGTAACCATCCTGCTAACTCTGGACTCACTTGGCTCCCCTATACTCTTGGCTCTGCCCTTACTGGCTTTTCTTCTTTCTGACAGTGCTCAGCTCTTCCATCTGGTATGCCATCACTAGTTTTGGACTCAGGCTACTGATACAGACAATTTCCTACCTCTAACAATTTTCAAATAATGGCCTTAAATCTTAGCCATCACAGACTATAGGTCAATGGTTTCTTTTTAAGCCACCTAAGGCTTCCATCCTTATTATAAAACAACACGCCCCTCATTTGAAAAAGCCTAAGACCTTTAAAGAATATATGGGAAGTTTACTTACCTCCAATGCGTTCCGTGTCATAATACGCATATTTCACTGTTAGAGGTGTGAACATCACTCCCATAGTCCTTCCAGGGACACCCATTAAAGTGCTGGGGAGAGGAGAAAAGGTAAATAGATGGCCTTGGGAGTTGGGTTTCCTTGTCTAGCCTGGGCTAGGAAAGCAGTCATAACAGGAATGGCTTTGGCTTCCAGGGTTCTTGAGATAAAAACTAGGACCCCTTGAACCCCAGAGGTCTCATGTGAGCAAAACTTATTTTCTCCCCTTAGTTCATTCCATACACCCAACCCTTGGCCTGTGAGAGGGTCTGGCTCTGGCCTAATCCTTTTAGAGGATGACTTCACATACTACAATGTCAGTGACAAGAGGATAGGACTCTGTTCCTGTGTAGCTGGCTGCCATAGAAAACAGTAAGAGATAGGTCTTTTTTGGAACTGAGCCTTCCACCAACATTGAAAGCACTGTCTTTCAATGAAAGTGACCTCTACACTTTCAAATGGATTTTGATGAACCTAAATTATATGTAAAGCTAAGAAGTTGGGCCATGGTTGATGGCCCATGAACTGGCACGTAAGGACTTGGCACCCATCTTACTGCATAATATTTGGCTACATTAGCATCAGACACACAAATAGCAATGGCAACGTTAAACAGTGTAAGAGAGGTACTAATAACTGCCTTCACTCTAACCAGAAAACAAAATCCCTCCAACTCCTACAGAAGGCTCTTCTTCAGTTCACTAGAGTTCATCCCAACAACTCCCACCAACTAGCATTGTGTAACTGCCTGCAAGTTCAACATGTCAACACTGTAATGTTACTGTCACCAAAACTATACCTCAATCCTGGATTAAAAGATGTGTTTGAAATAAGGACAGTCATTCTTAAATTCAGAGAACTAAGCTAAGTTCTCTGAATCATGACAAACTAAAGGTTAACTTAGAAAGGTAATAAACATGGTGAAGAATCATGACAAGAACACCAGGTGAGGGTTGCCTATTCTAGAAAAGATGACATGAAAGAAACATGATGGCTTATTCAAATACCTAATGGGCTGTCATTTGAAACCGGTCAAGAGTATTAAGTACTTGGAGTAAAAGTAGGATCAGTGAGTGTAAACTATGGGGACAGATTCTGCTTCAGAGTAAAACCTTTCTAATGATAGCTGTTGAAAGACAGGAATGAACTTCTTGAAGAGGCAATGGAGTACACACTGAAGGAAGAGAACCTGTGGGGGTGGGGTATCATCTAGGCATGGTGTTTTGCTTCTTAAGCCATAAAGTTGCCCCAGGACTCAGGAGTCACCTGACATAGGCCTTGATGCTCATGCGGCCATTCTGGAGACCCGTGTCCACGGTGAGGTGAATGGGGTTGGGGGCTTCCCGGCTGTAGTACTCATGGATCAGCACTGAGTGCTCTGTGATGTCATGGCCTGTGGCATACCTGAGAAATGGAACATAGCTGTAGATTCATGACATGTAACACCAATACAAAATATAAAGGTGGCATGGTATCTCTAGACACCTCTATGGTAGCAACACCTAACCAAAAAAAAAAAAAAAAGATTCACATAATAAAAGCTACAATTCAAAATAAACATTCTTGACCTCATAGGATCAGAACTGTCAGTGAAATACAATTAATATTCCTCAAGTTTACATATTTCAGTATCTTATTTCCAAAAGGGGAAGACAAGCTCTAGTCTCATGGCAAAAGAGCTTGGCAATTACTCCTGCCCCCTCCCCAACTTACCAGCCTAGGATGAGCTCATTTGGGGAGACTTTTTTGTGCAATTCATACATATTCTTAGCAAATTCCATGTCAACGGCCACCTAAGAAGGAAGGCAGGAAAGGAGGCTAAGAAGCTAGAAGTCTAATGAACAACGGAATAAAATGGACAGAGGCTACCCCCACCAAACAGAAGGCCTTGGGAAGTACATATGATGGGATGAAGCTTATTGGCTGTAGGAGCTCTAGTTGTGAGCACAACGTATTGTGCAGGAGGGCCCTTGAGGGGAGCCTGGCAAATGAACAGTTATAAACTGCATAGGGGCAGGTCAAGTCTCCACTCACTTCATCTTCTGACTCATTGTGCGGGACTGAAAAGCAATTGGTGACTTCCACTGAGTGCTTGTCAACAGTTCCTGTGGAAGAGAGAATTGGCCATGTGTTATATAATCCTAGGGATTCCAACAGCCCTCTGACTACTTTTGAAATGCTTTTGGCAGTCTCCTCAAAGTCAGTGAATACTAAACCGATGCATTATTAGCTCAAGCTCAGCACTAATGGGATCGAGATTCTCCACAGGACTAAAACTCTGGAATGATCTCCAATTCTTCCATGCCTCAACAAACAGGGTTTATTCTTTCTTTATAACATCTCCCCTTTTACCTATCTGTTACTTTCTACTAACAACTTTTTCTAGACCTTTTACTCTACACATTCCTTTTTTAGCCTCTAGATGTTCTCCCTATAATTTAACCTGCAGAACTGCCTGGAAGACTTTAATGTCTATATGTAACACTAATATAATACCTTAATCTCACACTCTGAGCACAATTTTAGAGAGTGTTTCTGTATAGCCTTAACTGTGATCATGCAGAAATCCTCTACCTGTGAACCTTAAACAATGTCAGTCTTTACCAAAAACTTTTGTTCTTCTAGTTCTGATTTCTTTACTCCTACTACTTTAGTTCCTTTACTCATTAAAACACTAGTCCCCTGAGTTCTTTACTACTCTCTTCCAACCTACTCCTCCCACCCCAGGCTTCAATTACTTTCCTCTACTGTAGAGTACAACGTTGTCTATACTCACTACTACTTGCTAATTCCAGTTTACCACAGCTTCTGCTCCCTTAGCTAAAAGTACACCCCTAAACACAATGAATATATATTCTTTATCTCATTTGACCTGATTAGCATTCAATAGACTTGACTGAATATCTTCCACCTTAAAGCTTTTTCCTTGGACTTCCATAACTCCAGTCTCCTAGTTTTCTTTCTTCTTTTTTTATTTTTGTTGGCTTCTCCTCTGCCATCTCAGGTTTTCTGCAGTCTTAGTTCTTCTATTTTTCTCTCTTTTCTCCTTTTCTAGGTCAAGCCCTGACCTAGAAATGTTTTTGTTAATAAAAGTTTACATGCCCAATTATTTATGCATTATTTATAGCTGCTTTCTTGCTAGAAAGGCAACACTGAGTAGTTGGCAACAAAATGTACACAAAGCTTAAAATACTGTCTGGCCCTTTACACAACGTTGCTGATCCCTGTATTTGGTGATCTCATCTACTTTTATGATTTCAATTATTTTTTATCCTTCAATAGCATAATTCCTAAGTTGATAAACTTGTCCACATCTCTTATATTTTTCACCTTTTTTTTTTTTGTGGTGCTGGGGATTATTCAATTTTCCAGTTGACTTCATTGACACACTCAGCAGGCATCTCAGCAGGAACGCATAAGCTGAAGTCAATCTCTACCTTCCCTTTATTCTTCCATTCCTAAACAAAGATCTAGAAGTCATCTTTGATTTTTTTTCCTAATCCTTCTGATCACACCAAGTCCTATCAACTCTATTTCCTACCATTCAACTCATCAATCCTTCACGTAAGTGCTTTTCTATTACTAGAAAAACCTCTATCTGGTGTCCAAGAACAGCTTGTGTCTTTCTCTTAACCATGCTCTATAAAGCAGCCAGAGTAAACTTTTAATTTCTGCTAAAATGCCTATTGCTCAAGATCTTCCCTAAACAGCCCTGAACTAGGTTAGACTGAAATTTTGTCTTCTTATTGCTCCCTGTAATCCTCCTTTACAGCACTTTACCTACTTGGAATTATTTAATACCTTGATGGCTCCTCGCTTTGTTAGCTTTATTTCTGGCAATATCTCTCTTTCCTACATGCCTACAATGCTGATCTCTTCACAGTGGATTTACTGGTCTCTTTTATATTTCTGTAATTGCTTCAATGACCAGTTCAAACGTCTTGTCTGTGAAGCTTTTGCCAACCTTCTGAAATAGTTAAGTCTGCATTTTCACGTTACTATGCTATTTCTATTAGAGCATTTACCATGTTATATTCAAATAATTAGCAAGGAAGAATACATTTCCATCTTGAGTTTTCACAATAGAGCTCATCTGATCAAACTTTGAATTCTAAGTACCTAAGTTTTATGGCACATAAAAGGCACCAAGGACTTCATTTGATCAAATGAAATGTTTTACAAATTAATGCTGAAATGAGAAAATTTTAAGTTTTTAACAAGCAGAATTTGTGCTTCATTGTGTTGTAAACATTGCTTTGTAATCCTCACAAGTACTGTACCATGATTTAGTTTGGAAGAGGCTCTGAGGACACTATAAAAACTAGGGCATGAAGCATAAACCTTTGGTAGAGAATTGTTTTAAACAGCTCCAGTGAGTTTGGAAAATCTGAAAGCACAGTAACTGTAAAGTGCCAAGTCAGTCATGCAAAAAAATCCTGTTATAGAAGCTTACAGTAGGGCAGTCACAGAAAGCTAGCCCACTGTAGGAGATTAAGAACAGAGTGAACAGTAGGGGTACAGGATGGAAAACTGATACTTAATAACTCTCCTGGGAACCTGGAGGTGAAAAGTTAAACAAATAAGGGAGAAAAGAGAAAGCACTTATAGCAAAGAGTATACAAAGGCTTGGTTTGAGAAAAGATATAACAACAGTTAAAAAATAATGAACCATTTTAAATTTCGGAAAAGCTACATTGTTAATGATAGAGAGTATGTGTCTGTGTGTGTACCTGCGCCTGTGCTAGGTCTGATGGTGTGGACAGCAACCAATAGTTTTATCTGTGCCAGCAGTCAGTTGCTTTCTGTACTAATCTCATTCTGACAAAGACTAATTATTAAAGAAGTCCCTGAATGAACTAGACTTTAGGTAATTTATCCTAAGGCACATGGCTAATATTTGCTGGTGTCTGTCTATATATCTTGTCCTCGGTTTCCTGTAGTGTAAGGATCGCTGCAAATTCAAGAGTGAGAAAGAGAAGTAATGCAAACAACTAGGGTGGACTTAGTATTTAAAACTTGCCACTAAGAGTGAAAATAAATATGATGGAATCAGCAGTTCCCAGGGAAAGGAATTAATTCAGCAATCCTTCTTTAGTGCTTTCTAGTTTTACAAGCTACTTTATCATAAGATGTATCTCCTAAAGTCTGGAATACAGGAGAGAAAAGGATTATTCTTCAATTGAAGCTTAAGGGTAGATCTGCAGACAATACAATTATTTGTATTCAAATAGAAAAACAGAGACAGCGCTGGGGGAAACAGGTTTTACTACCTTAGGAACTAGTGTTAAGGGAGTCTGAGCGACAGAGAACCAAGCTCAAAATTTCAGGAAAGCAAAACACGAAATCCTAAATATGTTTCAGCCAAACTTGCTTTACTTGTGGGAAAGGGTAGAATTCTACAGACTCCCCCACGCCCGGTCCCCCGAAATTCGTTGTGAACTGGACGAAGACATGTGGTCAATGGGGAAAATGTGGTCACTGGGCTAAGAAGTGAAGGTTTAACTTCTTAATGGCATTTGAGCTCAGTTTTGGAAGAAAGGGGCTAGTCATATGTGGCATAAGATGCTGCTGGGACTATTAAAAATAAAATGTAGATCATTCGGCGCACACTAGGGTATTTAGCCAGTAACTACTCTTTGAATATTTTACATCGCTCAAAGTTAACAGCAAACCGGCAGAGGTTCAAGTCTCCTGGGACGATAAATCGCAGCAGAAAGGTGAAATGGAGAAACAGCTAAGAGACCAATGGGGAGGGAGTAAGAGGGGAGCAAGGTAAATGAGAAGTGGGAAGGAGAAAAATATAACTTTCTTTGATCACTCACCCAGCAGTGTTCCGATCACTCGGGCAGCGCCCTCGTTGCGACGCTCGTAACTGTCCACGATGGAGGCCAAAATGACCGGGTGCAGCCTGACCACGCGGCCTCCGGGGAAGGGCCCGGGGAGAGCAGGGCCAGGCAGCGAGGGCGCCTGGGTCTGCGCCTGGGTTTGTGCAGAGGCCGCGGTCTGGCCCGGAGCCGCGGGCGTACCTGCCGCTGCCGTCGAGTCTGAGGGTGCGGCGGAAGCTGGAGCGGTAGCGGGAGCCGCAGCCGGCGCTGGAGTTGAGGCTGAGGCTGGAGCTGGGGCGACGGCCGGGGCTGGGGCTGGTGTCGGGGAGGGAGTGGAGGGAGGAACACTTGCCGGGACTGACGGAGCGGCCATCTTGTCGAGAAAGGGAACTTAGAGAGGAAGGAAGTGAGTTGAAAAATATTAGGAACGCGATAGGCTGAATGTGTACCACGTGAACTAGATCTTGATGCCTATTGGTTTGATGGGACTTCTCGGGGCACTAAAATTTCCTGCTTGTTGTAATTCTTTCCGGAGTTTGTGCTCTTTACTTTCGGTCCGATATGCACTCATTGAGGACTGAACAAAATAGTTCCGAATAAACTTCAGACTGCATTAGACACAACTAAACTCGGTTTACAGGCTGCCCCCAGATGGCACCAGAGAGCAACGCAAAAGCTCACAAGTCGTGTTTTAGATTTGGGATTATGAATGTCAAATCACCTTTTTAAAAGGTCTTTATTCTTAACCGCGTCAAAAAGTGTCAACAGGGCGGTTTTTTCATTCATCAAGTTGCATGCCTAATATATATCAGACGCTCTTTTAGGCTCTTGGATTATGTCAATGAACAAAATAGGCAAAAGTTTACATTTTAGCAGGGAAAGGTGCTTTGATAAACAGTAATTAGTATATTGTGCTATGAAAAATGAACAATTAACGGAGGGTAATTTGGACTCCGGGGTTGTGTGGGATCAGGGTAGATTACAATGAAAATGTAGATTACAATGAAATGTGCAGACTTGAAGGGTCCAGGCAGGTGGCCATTATTTGGGGCTTTTTTGGAGAGAAGAACTTTTCAGGTAAACAGCTAGTGTAGAGGCCTTAAGTCAGAAGTAGGCCTAGTGTGATCAAGGAGGCTATTTGGTGGCTGGATGTTAAGATCAAAGGAGAGAGGAGCAGTATGGACCCCTAAGTCCTGGGTCAGGAGCAGATCATTAAGAACTTCCTATGTTATAGGGAATTGACTTCTGTGTTTATAGAGGGTGAGAAGTCCCAAGATCTGTAGAACCGAGGGCATTAGATCCAGTCTGAAAGTCAGGGGGCAGAGATCCAAGAAATAATGTTTCTTTGGAGTCTGAAGGCCAGAGAAGACAGATGTCCTCCCTCAAAGCACCTGGGCAGGAAGAGGTCCCTCTTACTAGCAGGAAGTCCAGCTGTTTTGTTCTGTTCAGTGCTTCAACATATTAGATGAGAGTCACCATATTAGGGAGGTTAGTCTGCTTTTTCAGGCTACTGGTTCAAATGTTAGTGTTATTCCAAACAAAGATTCTCCCAGAATTATGTTTGACCAGAAGTTGGGACACCCCATGGCCCAGTTAAGTTGACACATGAAATTAGCCATTACACATAAGTTTCTTTTGTCCTGGGGGACATACTTTAGAAGTCTTTTTTTTTTTTTTCATTTTTCTTTTATTATTCATATGTGCATACAAGGCTTGGTTCATTTCTCCCCCCTGCCCCCACCCCCTCCCTTACCACCCACTCCGTCCCCTCCCTCTCTCCCCCTCAATACCCAGCAGAAAACTATTTTGCCTTATTCTCTAATTTTTGTTGAGAGAGAGTATAGCAATAATAGGAAGGAACAAGGGTTTTGCTGGTTGAGATAAGGATAGCTATACAGGGCATTGACTCACATTGATTTCCTGTGCGTGGTGTTACCGTTCTAGGTTAATTCTTTTTGATCTAACCTTTTCTCTAGTTCCTGTCCCCTTTTCTATTGGCCTCAGTTGCTTTAAGGTATCTGCTTTAGTTTCTCTGCATTAAGGGCAACAAATGCTAGCTAGTTTTTTAGGTGTCTTACCTATCCTCACCCCTCCTTGGTGTGCTCTCGCTTTTTATCATGTGCTCATAGTCCAATCCCCTTGTTGTGTTTGCCCTTGATCTAATGTCCACATATGAGGGAGAACATACGATTTTTGGTCTTTTGAAGCCAGGCTAAACCTCACTCAGACATGATGTTCTCCAATTCCATCCATTTACCAGCGAATGATAACATTTCGTTCTTCTTCATGGCTGCATAAAATTCCATTGTGTATAGATACAATTTTCTTAATCCATTCGTCAGTGCTGGGACATCTTGGCTGTTTTCCATAACTTGGCTATTGTGAATAGTGCCGCAATAAATGGATGTGCAGGTGCCTCTGGATAACAGTCTTTTTGGGTATATCCCCAAGAGTGGTATTGCTGGATCAAATGGTAGAATCGATGTCCATCTTTTTAAGTAGCCTCAAATTTTTTTCCAGAGTGGTTTACTAGTCTCATTCCCACCAAGAGTGTAAAAGGGTTCCTTTTTCCCCGCATCCTCGCCAACACCTATTGTTGGTGGTGTTGCTGATGATGGCTATTCTAACAGGGGTGAGGTGGAATCTTAGTGTGGTTTTAATTTGCATTTCCTTTATTGCTAGAGATGGTGAGCATTTTTTCATGTGTTTTCTGGCCATTTGAATTTCTTCTTTTGAGAAAGTTCTGTTTAGTTCACATGCCCATTTCTTTATTGGTTCATTAGTTTTGGGAGAATTTAGTTTTTTAAGTTCCCTGTATATTCTGGGAATATACAGGGAATATTCCCTGTATATTCTGGGAATATTCTGTATATTCTGTATATTCTGTATATTCTGTATATTCTGGGAATATACAGGGAATATTCCCTGTATATTCTGGGAATATACAGTTCTGTTCAGTGCTTCAACATATTAGATGAGAGTCACCATATTAGGGAGGTTAGTCTGCTTTTTCAGGCTACTGGTTCAAATGTTAGTGTTATTCCAAACAAAGATTCTCCCAGAATTATGTTTGACCAGAAGTTGGGACACCCCATGGCCCAGTTAAGTTGACACATGAAATTAGCCATTACACATAAGTTTCTTTTGTCCTGGGGGACATACTTTAGAAGTCTTGCCTGAAAAGACATGGGTCACATCTATCAAGGGGTCATATAAAGGTGGGGCCTGTAGGTAGATGTTCCTACTCCACCTCCTCAATGACTAAAAGAGAGAGCCTGCTCACCCCCTTTCTTCTCCCTCTCCCTCTCTGAATTTGCTTTGCCCGTTCAGTTTCTGTTTTATGTTTCTCTGTATTTCTTCTCTATTTTTGTCTCTTCTCTGCCCTTGGTCTCTATTTTTGTTTCTACCCTTTCCCTTTGGGAGACTCAGTTGCTCTGGGTGTTAGTTCTGTCCCTAGCCAGGCCAGGGTTAACAGGGAGGGAGGTCTCATCCCATTTCTTGCTTCACCCTTCAATTAAAATTGCTTTTTACACATCTCAGTTCTACTTCCTTAGATGTGACTCAGAATCTCTGGCCCAGTGATTTCACGGTACAGCAGATCTGGAGCCTTTGCAGTAAGTGGTCTCTCTACTCTGAATCACCCTGTCTACATGATTATGTCTCATTCTTTTATTTTCCCATCTTGGTTTCTTAGTCTTGATTCTTGGCTTTCTCGTTTCTGTCTCTAGTCTGAGCTTGGTTCAGGCACTGAAAACAAAAACAAAAACAAAACCAGTTCCCATTTCTGACTGTTCCCTGGACTTTGAAGATAGTTGCTGAGCATTGGGCATGACAGGCCTTGGAGAAGTTAGGAAGGCTGGCAACAGTCAGCTCATGGCATCTCTCACTCAGCTAGCACCTGCCCTCAAACATCTGGGAGACGCTCATACTCATACATTATACAGAATATAAACTGCCAGGCGTGACCACGCTTGCCTTCTGACCACAAAACCACATGCTTGCCTTTCTCTGTCAAACAGCTCTCTCACTCAAAGGTCAATCTTTTACTTTTGCTTTGAATCCTATTCTAGTCCCCATTCTCAGCTGCCTTCTTTGTTTTTTTTCCTTTTCCTTCACTTGTATTTCGAATCTGACCCCTCTGTTGGATGCTTTTGGTCAGCATTTAAATATGTTCTCACCCTGTGGTGTGAAAAAACCCCAAATATTCTTGATCCCATTTCCTCTATAACCTTTCTTTTTCTTTCTTTCTTTCTTTTCTCTCTCTCTCCTTCTCTTTCTTTCTTTCTCTTTCTCCTTCCTTCCTTTCTTCCAGAAAGATTTACCTGTTTCTTTGCCTCCTATCCTTTCTTGGATGAATTAATTCTTATTTTATCAAAGTAATACATATTCATGGATTAAAAAGTCAACTGTCATTAAAAGCCTATGTCTCCATCCCTCCCACTATCCTCATCCCTCTTCTCTGAGGCAACTACTTTAGATTTTTAACTATTTCTTCTTACGTCTCTGAACTTCTAAATAGTGTGAGTATACTATTATGTTTTCATTCACAGTTTTAGGCATTATCTATTGGCTTCCTATTCTTGTGCATTCCACCACCATCCTTTCAATGTGGTTATATTATAAAGCTGAGATCAGTATTCAGCGGTTATGATATTATTTGTATGTAAACAATATTTGTATTGAGTGTTGTACTGTATTAAATTTCCTGTCTTTTTTGTTTCTCTTAAAATATCTCCTTATCTTACTTTCATTTGTCTGGTTTTCTAGGAAAACTTACTGCAAGTGTTCCTACCCTCTGGTAGTTTCTCCACAGGCTGTTTCAGAAGATCAGCAGCATCAGTTAGCCTACCAATCCTGTGTTCTTTTGGTCTTGGGGACATTCTTTCTGGAGAAATCTGTTGTCTTTCCATTAATTCTCAGCTCTCTGGGTCATCTGACCAGCTACCTTTAGGAATCTGTTTGGATTCCTGTTTCATGGAGCACTTGTCTTCTTTTTTATTTCAGTGGAGCAAATCCTCCAGCAGTTTCAGCAACTTACAAACATGGTATAATGACTGAGGATGTGGTAGTGATGGTCCTCTGGTTCCTGTGTCTTCAGGCAAGCTGCCCAGCCTTGTCTGGGATCAAGTTGTAAAGAGGCCTAACGGATTTCGGGGAGGGACATGGAGCATCTGTTGGGCTCTTTTCCTTTTGATGACCAAATATTTCATGACTTGTGTCCCTCCCTTTCTCAACCTTAATGTTTGGAGGAATTAGGTCAAATTTCCCCTTGGTGAGCCATCATCATTCCACTGACACATCTAATGTGCAGGTGTTTCTGCTACACAAAGGTTAATGTAATCCTACGTGTGCTAGGCCTATTAGGCATCAAAAGGAGGT